TAACCCTAACCCTAACCCTAACCCTAACCCTAACCCTAACCCTAACCCTAACCCTAATCCTAACCCAAACCCGTGGATCTCTGTGAATTTGAGGCCAGCTTAATCAAATAGAAAGTTATAGCCCAGCGAGGTTTCATGGTAAAACCATATCTGGCAAAACAAAGGTTTAAGTGGAAATTATTGAAATCTTCCACTATTATCATACCTAGATCAGTCTTTCATTCATTTTAAGGCTTCTTAATGAACATGAGCCCTAGTATTTTTGTGTAAATAGTTATCCTATTTTCTTCTTTCTTGAATCATTCCTTGTTTTTATATGTTCAAAATGGTATGTTGGTTTTGGGGTTTTTTTAATGTTGCTTTTGTATACTGTTATTTTGCTGAAAATGTTTATCAGATCTAAGAGTATCATGATAGTGCCTCTATTATTTGCTTCTGAAGAATTGTCCCTTCAGTAATGTATAGTGATCTTATTTATCTCTTCTAGCTATTTTTGGTTTGAAGGTTTGAACTCTATCACATATGAAGGCAGTTCTAACAGTTTGGTTTTAGCTTCCATTTGCCTAGTAGATTGCTTTTGATCCTTTGACTCTTAGTTTGTGAAGTCATAGGGTTTCTATTGCTGTGATAAAACATGACAGACAAAGCAACTTGGGGGAAGACAAGGTTTATTTCAGCTTATAGATTGTAGTCTATTTTCCAGGGAAGTCAGTGCAGGAACTCAAGGTAGGAACCTGGAGGCAGAAACTGAAGCAGAGACCGTGGAGGAGTACTGTGTATTGCCTTGTTCTCTCCATGGCTTGATCAGCCTGATTTCTTATAGCACCCGGGACCATTACTCCCTCTCCACTTCGGTCACTAATTAAGAAAATGCACTACAGACCTGCCTTCAGGCTAGTATTATGGAGGCATTTTCTTAGCTGAGTTTTCCTCTACCTAATGACTCTAGGTTGTATCCTGTTGTCACAGTGAATGACTTTGTCAGTAGTGTGTGTTTCTTACAATGACCATTGTTCCCTGACCCTTACTGGGTGCAGCACTTGGGAAAGTGGGCCCTTCACCTCACCAGGGAAGCACAGTAGAGCTACCCCAGCAGCAGAGGCACAAGTGAGCCAGCCCTGAGGGTCTGCACATGGGAGAGCTGGCCCTACAACTTGTCTGCTGTGGGGTGGCACGGGCAAGAAAGAGATATTCTCCTCCCTCACCTTACTGCTCTCCACCTATGGCAGAAGGGAAAGCTGGTCACAAGGCTATGAGAGCAGGAGAGCTAACCCTGCCCCTCGCTAGCTGTAACACTCAGGAAAATGGGCCCTGCACTTTACGTGAGTGGCAAAGTTGGCCCTGCTAGTGTTGGTGTGAGTGAGCCTTCTTCAAGGGCATGAGAGCTGGAAAGCTTGCTCTGGCTCTAGCTGCCTGTGGCATTGGGTGAGCTAGCCAGAGCACTGCTGGAGAGCTTGTCTTAGTGGTGTGGGTGCAGGAGAGCTGGTATGCTGAACAACTCAGCGATCACCCAGGCCCAGATCCAGGGCTGAGTTGGCCTATTCCAGCATCTACCTCATCTATGAACTGCTGGAGTGTGTGAAGGGGAGGGTCTACAGGTCCAAAGCTTCAGGATCTCTATGACATAGGACAACAAGAGTATATTCTATCTGAGAAGAGTCCTGGTGATGATCCAGTATTGACAGTGTAAAAGAAGCCAGAGGCCTTGAACCAGACCAATGACTCATTGTAATGAACACTTACAGGTAAGGAAGTGTGGACAAAAGGGTATACTGTGAGACACACTGTGCCACACTGCAGCTTCCAAACCAAGATTTTTGGGAGGGGGTAGGTGGCAAGAGTGGCAGGTAGATATGAAGGGATTAGACATGAATGGGATTCGGGTACATGATGTGAAATTCACAAGCATTCAATTAAAAGTTAAAAATTTTAAAAGGAATGGCCAGTGTTATGCTATAGACACAGACATTACAAACCAAAGTCCATAGCTTCTATGGCTGATAAGCACTACTAAGAGGTGATACAACCTTAAGTACAATCTTTGATAAGTGAAGTCCAGCGTGAGAAAAGTTAGATAATAAAAGGTGTGCCTTTGAAGGAGCTTGTAGCACCTCAACTTTGCCTCACCGTGAGGGGTCCTCGAAGTGTGTGTGTGCGTGTGTGTGTAGTGTGTGTGTAGTGTGTGTGTAGTGTGTGTGTGTGTGTGTGTGTAGGTTCTCGCTCACATTTAGCTCTGCTCAGACCCATCTCAGCATTCTCCATCATTCTCAGATATTGAACCACACAGTTAACCATGGAGTCATCCTCTCGTCTTGCAGCTGTGGTCCTTTCTAACCCATGGTTGCCACCATTCTCAGATCACTGTGCCCCAACATTCTGGCTGTTTTGATCTCTAGTCCCAAAGGAGAGGAAGCAAAGCAAGAGGAAGAGTATGAAATTGTTTCTCAGTGACACAGAAATGCCACTGAAAGGTGAAGTGGTTCTAGAAAGAAAAGATACTCTATCTGAGAGAGAGAGAGAGAGAGAGACAGAGACAGAGCTGGCCAGGTGAGCAGGTGGGCAGGAGTCTTCCAGGGAAGAACAGGGTACCTGTATAGACATCCTGAAGATAGCCCTCTGGCTCAGGCTGTAGAAGGAACATCCTGGTAGTCCTTGGGTGTCCTATAATTCTTAACTAGACATTTATTGAAAGACATTTCTGCTAGAAAACATGAGATATTACAACCAATCCTGCAGTCCCTTCCTAGAAATAAGGCATGTAGGGAATGCCATGTTTTTTTTTTTTTCTGAGATGGATGAGTGTTGCCCATGTGTAAAGCACCACTGTGTTTGTCTCAGTACTACCAACTAATTACAGAAAATCAAATCCAACAGCCAAAACTGAAACTGGAAAGGAAAGTCTAAGACCAGAGACCCTTGTGAGAATACAAATATCACTTAAGAATTCAAGTCAGCAAAACCCCTTCTAACAAGCTCAGGTTCAAGTAGTAGAATTTTCTGGTGAAATCCTGGCTGTGAGTGCTGGCCTGAGCCCATCTATGCTTATGGGACATGGGGAACTCCCAAAGTAGGAGGAGTCTGGCAATTGGTTATTATTTAGTAAATTCAATATTGCCCTAATGTTCTGGGCATCCTAGATCCTCGCTAAAAGCTTTTCTCAGAACTCTGAATCGCTGAGCTTTTCTGAATCCTGTCCTGGGCTGACAGTCTTCCTATGACACTGGAAGATACAGAAGTTCATGGCCATGTCAGGAAGTGCGATGCAGCTGAGAATGGAGTTCTCTGGCTTGGCTTCTCAGAATTTCAGCCAAGGTTCTCTTGGGGATATACAAGATTCCACCTACACCCTCTACCTCTCCCCCAGAATCTCTCCTAGCAGAATGCTGCCTCACACTATATGTTACTCCCATGACAAAAAACTCAGAGGAAACTTAAGTATAAAACAAACCATCAAAATGATTAAAAATTATTTGCCCTGGTTGGAGAAATAGCTCAGCTTGGTTAAGAGTGCTTGAGGCTCTTCCAGAGGACGGGAGTTCTGTTGCTAGTTCCCACATATGTGGCTAACAACCGCCTTTAACTATAGTCACAGGGGATCAAACTCGCTTCCTGGTCCTACAATACTGCATGTGCATGTACTTACACATAGGTAAACTCACATACCATTCATTTTTTCTAAAAATGAAAAAAAAAGCCACAACAAACATACGTCTAAGGAGGAGACAGGACAGAGAAG